TCAAATTCTTGCGAGAGAAGAACTATGTTCATCGGGACGTGAAGCCCCAGAACCTACTTCTTCTCCCATCACCACAGTACCGGGACACGGTTCCAAAGCACATTTTATCCGCGAGCCGAGATTCCATGATTCCTAACGCAGGGCTGGCATCGCTGCCGATGCTGAAACTCGCAGACTTCGGTTTCGCCCGCGTCCTCCCGTCGACATCCCTCGCCGACACCCTCTGCGGCTCACCGTTGTATATGGCGCCTGAAATTCTCCGCTATGAGCGCTACGATGCCAAGGCCGATCTCTGGTCGGTCGGAACGGTGCTCTACGAGATGATCACTGGCCGGCCTTCGTTCCGCGCCAGGAATCACGTCGAACTACTGAGGAAGATCGAGGCCGCTGAAGACAAGATCAAATACCCGAAGGATGCCAACGTGAGCAGAGATCTGGTGAAGCTCATCAGTAAGCTGCTCACTCGTAACCCCGTCGAGCGAATCAGGTTCGAAGATTTCTTCGCCGACCCTATCGTGGCTGGTGCCATTCCCGGCGTTGTTGAAGATGATATTCCGAAACCGCCTCAGGAGCAAAGGAATTCTATCGAAGCCCGTGCGAGCACCAAGCCTGAGAGCATGCCCCTGTCACGACAAGCATCCCTAAGGCGCCATGCTGAGGAGACTGGTCTGTCCCGCTCTCCCCGTGCAGGTCTCTCAGGGTCTCCGCAAACTGAGGGCTCGGGGTTGCCACGGGGATCCCGCCCGTCCGGCGAACGCCTTAGCAGCTCGCCCGGCCAAGACAGTGGTCAAGGTCTCGGAATCCGCCGGCCACCTCCACCGCAGCCATCAACCTCCGCACCGGCCAGGCCTCACAGGCCATCAAATGCATCTTACACCCGCCCATCAGCTCGCGGCTCCCCGTCGCCCACATCGTCATCCTTCGACAACGCTCATCGAGGCAAACTTCGACCTGTGACTGAGCGCAGCATGACGGAATCGGACAGAGCGGCGCAGGATGTCGCCTTTGAGCGTGACTATGTCTTGGTGGAAAAGAAACATGTTGAGGTGAATGCTTTCGCAGACGAAATGGCAGCCAACCCTCGACTCAACTTCTCGCCAAAATCTGGCCAGCAGATGGTCCGCCGCGCTACCCAGCAGGGCGCACCCACATCAACGACGGGCGCCGTTCGGGCCCAGACATCGCAAGCAGTCCAAATCGCGCAGGGCCGGGAGTTTCCCACTCATGAACGCCGTGGCTCCTACGAAAAGAGTTTTTCTGGTAGCCCCGGGTCCGCTACGCCAAGCTTTATCACGAAGGCCATCCAGGATGCCAGTGTGCGCCTATTTGGTTTCAAAGTGCCACATCACGTTCTGGGCAAGGGGCAGTCGCCACCACAAATCTACAGCGCATTTCCTGCCTACCCTACCACTCACGGTCCCGCTGGCCTTCTCGAGGATGGAAAACAGAGATTGCCTACAGATGAGGACGCCCGAGCCGTCAAGTATATCCAAGACTTGGCTCACCGCAGCGATTGCGTCTTTGGTTTTGGCGAAGTCAAATACAAACAACTCCTTCCTATCGCTCCGTCGACGGACACTGGGCTAGGTGGCCTCTCTGCTGATGAGGCTTCCGAGGACAACGGTCTGACGCTGGAGGCTGTCGTCGTGCTCTCCGAGGAGGCCTTGGTGCTCTACGTCAAGGCTTTGACGCTTTTGGCCAAGGCTATGGATGTGGCAAACGCTTGGTGGGTACAGAAATCGCGTTCGGAGTCGACCGTTGCTCTGGATCCTGCGAAGGAGAATCTTATTCTGCGAATGAACTCGACAGTTCAATGGGTTCGCGGGCGGTTCAATGAGGTTCTCGAAAAGACCGAAATTGTTCGTCTGAAACTCATCGAGGCCCAGAAGCAGCTGCCCGAGGACCACCCCAGCCATCCTAGGAACCAGGGCGAGAGTTGCTCCTTGTCTACTTCGGCGGGTACCGAGCAAGTCTACTTGACGCCTGGTATTAGTGCTGAGAAGCTCATGTACGATCGCGCTCTGGAGATGAGTAAGCGTGCTGCCATTGACGAAATTGCAAACGTTGATCTCGAGGGTTGCGTAATCTCTTACGTTACGGCTATTTACATGCTTGAGGCTGTGCTGGACAACGACGGTGAGACGACTAAGGCACGTTCTGCCAGCACCAGTAAGAACACTGTGTCCCAGGACGACGTCACCAGCGATCTGGATAGCGACGACCAGCAAGTGGTCAAGAAGAGTAAGCCAACCCATAGCAGGCTGGGCTCGTATTTGTACTGACCCTGTTTGCAGTGATTCACATGATATCTTCCCGCTTGGCCATGGTCAGGAAGAAGATGGCGGCTATCGCTGAGGCCTCGAGGTCTGAGCAGAGCCAGCAGCAGGCTTCAGGACGCAAGCGAAGTGGCGATGTCACCCCGCGAAGTGTTCCAACACATGCCTCCTAAGCGACGGAGGTTGGCGTTTTCTGTTATTTTTTCTCAAGATGATGTGACGACGAACAAATCGAAAAGCCTACGAACGACTTTCATATCCATTTCCTCCATCCCTGGATGATTCCTAGCATGGGCTCAGTGGAGGCCTCTTCAGCAAGCGAGGTTTGCTCAGGATAACAGGACATTTTCACCGGCGTTTTGGGCAAGAAAGCATCGCCCCGAATCTCTTTTCTTGCATTCTTGTGTTTTTATATTTGGGTACTGCCAGAGATTGGGCTGGCGTTGAACTGCATATTTGTTGCGTCGCTGGGTACGTAAGATGCTTCAGCTCAGGGTTTATAGCTGCCCGCGTAGCGAGGTGTTAGCGTACGTTGACGTGCTTGCATGCTGGAAACTAGGGTACACAGCACCCGTGGTTGGACGGTAGGCTTGGCTCTGCGATAGATGACCTCGCGACTTTGTTGCGTCTGAGCAGCGCTGTCATGAGCTCGGCATTCATGGGTCGCAGACTGAGGAGAGGACAATGATGGATATATGTTTGGTTTACGGAGGACAATCTGGAAGGGGTTCGTGGTTTGGTCCTTCGTGACGGTGTCGTAGAGAAGAAGGGGTCTCCGACGTAGATTGCCAATGAGAACTTTATCTCTGGGACATTTGCTTCGCGTGACCCGGGGCTGCCTGTGGCAGGTCTTTGTCCGCAGACAACGAACGGACCGGGCTGATACAGCGCACGACACCTAGGCCTCTGTGAGGACTTACACGTACCTACCTGATACAAGAAGAACAAAGCATCTCTGCAGGTCACAGCACGTTTCTTCGGGAATCATCCGGATGGATCATGGCAGACGTTGATTGAGGGGACAGGCATGATTACGACAATCACTCCTGGTTGTCATCGTCCAAGGTTCAAGTCTATATAACTCGTTGAACCAAGTTCTTTTGCGGTAGAATCCCCACCACAGCTACAGGTTGAAGCAAAATACACTGGCATATTCCGTGTTCACGACCAACCAACGCAGAAAAGACCCCATTGCGTACGCAGCGACGAGACGTGGGGCAGAGCCATAGTTCATCATGTCATCGCAGGCTGAGGAGCCCGTTCCGAGCCACGAGCCAGTGCACAAGGGCTCTGGCACACCGGGTCTCATGCATCGCGTACCTGCGGGCGAGAATGGCACAGATGGCAGGCGTGTCGTGAGACGCACGAGTACAGAGGCAACCCTGACGACCGAAAAGGGGACACGCCCCCTCGCGGCTTTGGAGCGCCGTCCTGGCGATGACCTGGCTCGTTCGACTGCCCGCTGGACGGGCGAAACACGTCAACCCCGCAAACCAGCAAGCTCGATCCAGGATGCGTCGTCGGCCAATCTTGTGGAAGATCCGGTCCCGAGAGTTCCCGCCTATGGAACCATGACGATCATGACAAGCACGGGCAACATGATCACGACGCCACGGATCCCGGGGTTCGGCTGCAGCCGGAACAGGACGGGCATGAGCATGGTCGAGCGCATCCTGCAGCAGCGAGCAACCAAGGCAGCGCAGGAGAAGGCACGGCAAAAGATGGCCGAGGAGGCCCATTTGCGGGAGGGGAGGCGGCGACGGGCAGAGGAGAAGAAGAGGCAGGCCGAGGAGAAGAAGGAGCGCGCGCGTCGGAGGAGGGAGCGCGAGGCGCGCGAGGCGCGGGGCCGGGTGTGGTACGGCGCCATGCTCGCGGAAATGGGGGCTCTGCTGGAGGACATCGACTGGGCGGTCGTGCTGAGGACAAGCAGGGCGTGGGTTGGCACGTCGAGAGGGCCGGGCCAAAGGTTGCGGGAGAAGCCGCCTCCTGAGGACCTGTACTGGGCGCGGTGTGCGATGGACATGGACAGGGCGACAATTGAGTCCATGGGCGACTATGGAGTCAGGCTGGTGGACATGGTGAGGCGGGTCGACAGACCGGACTGGCTGAAGGAGGAGACGGTGCGGCGCAACAGACTGAAACTGACGGCATTGCAGGAAAAGGGGGCCCAGGTCTGTGAGACGGTCGGCGAGGGGAGGCAGGCTGCTGACGAGGCGCAGTGGAAGCTCCAGGCGCTCGACGCGCTGGCTCAACCGCTGGCAGAGGGTCTCTGGTATGCAGCAACAAAGAGGATGCAAGAGACCGGGCGCGTGCAGTACGTTGACGGACTTCCTGTTGACCTAGAACCGACCAGGCGGATGGTCATGCCGACTTCACGGAAAAGCAGACGGAGCCTGACTCAGAAAGGCGTACCTTGCGCCCAGTGCGAGGCTGCGAAAATGACGGAATGCAGCCAAGATCGTTTCCTCCCCAGCAGTTCCAAGCTGGAACCCTGCTTGCGTTGTCAACGGATGGGCGAAACATGTGTCCAGATAGACCCTGGTTTGCGGGACGCTGATCGCGAGGGTTTGCCTAGGTGGACCAGATACGTGGCATCTGGCCACGACATTGGCAAAAAAGAAGCCCAGGCGAAAGCCGAAGAGCTTCTTGAGCCTCGGGGTAGGGCTTTCGTCAATGTTTGTGGTCTCATGGTTGATGCGGTCGACGTCAAGAGTTTCGCTCCAGCCATGGTATCAACTTTGCAGGTTGAGAGCCTCAAGGCCAGGCGCAATCACTCCATGCCTGGAACCCCGAGGCTCGACTCGCCCAGGCTACTGTCACCAAGCGAATAATCGAAAGCCGAGGGATTTCGTGGCAGAATGGCCAAGATTCGTTCAGATGAATATTGGGCTGAGAAGGCAGAAGCTGCGGGAGCGGGCGTAGCAGACTAGGGTGGCGGGACGCGAGGAGCAAGATGACGAGGACCGGCTCGTCTCACGAGTGGGAGAGTTGGGTTGCTGTCCGAGACTAATGCAAAACCTGGCCCAGAGTGTCAAGCGTTTATCGTTCAAAGGATTGGTCCGGATGAGACCTCACGAGGAAGCAGACTTATTGAAGCATGATGTCGCATCTCGGCGAGGGACCATTGGTTCGATCAGCTTAGCTAATCAAACTCTGGAATGACTTCATGTCCAATATCAACCTCCCTCGCACATGAACGTCGCAATTCAGAGGTAGGCTTTATGGTACAATTCCCTGGAGTCATTTGGGTGCATTCATGGCTATCAATACGACTTTCCCGACGTTCTGAGACTTGCAGCTGTGATAAAGCACTATAATCAAGATTGCGCCGAGCCAGATATCCCGCGATCCCCTCATTGCGAGACTGGTAGAGGAAAGGAGCACTAAGACATCCCAGAAGAAACACTTTCCGCTCTGAAGGACTGACATTTCAAACTCGACATCAAACGGCACCATTTGAATCTCCTGCAACGACAGCACCATGCCTCCCCCGCCAGATCTCACGTCGTACATCCTGTCAACCCAGACCTCGGACGACATCTTCAAGTCCCAGATCCTTCCAGCCGAGTTCCCCTTGTTGGTACCAGCACCACAAACGCAGGCCGGCCAACGACCCCTCGCAGTACTGATAGTAGGCCAAACCGGCGCCGGCAAAACCCGCTCGCCCCGGCCGTTCTCAAAG